TTTCTGAGCCAAGTGATGGTGTTGCGGCAAACAGGGAGCAGAATTAGAGCCATGTTGAACTTGAGAGTCTCTGCGCCGCCTTTGGCGACGCAAACGCAATGGCCCATGACGTCGAATGCCGCCTTTTTGTTCCGGTACTGCAAAAACTTGTAGGCAAACAGAGCAGAAAGAATGCCAAGCCAGAGCATGAGAACCCACAACCTCTGCCAATTGTCCAACAAGAAGTACTTAAGCTTGTCGCAGGATCGGGTGAAGGCGTTGTTCTCCTGATTAGTCGGCTTCAGCCTCTGGCTCAGTAATTGACTCAGCACTCTGCTGTCGCTTACCCTTACCGATTGCGTCGGGGCTTGAAGCAATAGCGTTTCAAGGTTTTGAACCTGCAGTATTTAATTAGTTACAATTTCATAATACACATATATGGAGAAGTTGATCAGCATGCAACCATAATTAGTTTATAATTATAACGGATATCGTGATCAGTGAAATACATTGATTAAATTAATTTGTATGAATTCATGTTGATTAGTTATAAGTAAGTACCATGATATATCCGACATTATCCGGGTCTAGTTCTTCCATGATGAGAGCCGCGTATTCCTCGGCCTGCTTCTGAATGTTGGAGAGTTTGTTCGCGGAGGCACTCAGGCTAATAATCTGCGGCAAGACAACACGTACGTTAATATTAAGCATTGATCATCATCGATTTGAAATTAAAATTAATGACTTGGTTAATATATATATATATATATATATGATTCAGTTAATTATTATATGTAACGATCGAACTAGCTAATTATGATGTAATTACCTCTCTAACCTCCTCTTCCGTGATTCTTCCATCGGCGTCTTTGTCCACCCTGCATGCATAATCAATCGATTAAATTAATATCCCAGATTATGAATATTCAATTCAACAAATAATAAAGGCCGAGTTGGGAAAGAGAAAGTAGTACTGGGGCCCGCTTTTATGTGGCCCGAGACGAGACGTGTAACATATGTCGTATTTGCGCGTGTAAGAATAGTTGTCTTCAACTATAATATTATTAATTATATTAATATACATATTGTAAAGATATATAGCTAGACCGGGTGGGTCTTATAACTCTAATAATTAATAATGAATTGGGAAAAAGTAGCAGCAGCTAGTAATGGTAGAAGAAGTAGTAGTAGGATATACGACGACGTACATGTCGAAGAAGGTCTGGAGTCTGGAATCAAAGCTTTCGTCGGAGATTTGAACCCAGAAGTCTTGGAGTTGTGACTTGTAAATGGAGTCTCCGTTTATGTTACGCCTCCGTGCTAGCGCTCGGAAAAGCTCTCCTGCGAATTCCTTTGATTCCTTGTTCATCCCTGTATATATGATTATTAAATGGTAAAAAACAGATCATTAATTAAATTAAAAGATAGACAGAGATCACAGAGAGAGAGAGAGAGGATGAAATTGAAAAGTAAAGCTGTAAATAAAGAAATAGGATACCAATGCATTCGCCAAAGAGAGAAGAGTGGAGAAGGCCGTTGGAGTTGGCAGTGAGGTCGTTGAAGCGCTTCTCGACTTCAGGCCAGGCGGAGACGGCGGCGGAGGAGCCTCCCTTCTTGGCGGCGATGAACTTGAAGCCCTTGAGGGCATGAGCGGCAGCCGATTTGGAGCGGTCGAAGCGCCTGGGGGTGGAGGAAGAGTTAGGCCTCATGAGCTGCTTGGAGGTGGCGGAGGCGAGGCGCTTGAGCTCCTGGGAGACGTGGTTGAGGACGCGCGAGGAAGTGCTTCTGAAGGAGGCGGATCTGGAATTATTATTATTATTATTAGCCGCGCCTGCAGCCTCCTGCAGAGTCGTCTTGGTGAGGAGAGCCAGCTCCTGATCTTCGTCTGATCCGCTGGCAGCCTGAACGCTGTGAACAGCCACCGAGTCGTCGCGGATGTCCAGAGTGATCTCCACGTAATTAGAGTTGTCATCGTTATTAATTATATCTTTCGATGACGACCCCGTGGATGCAGGAAGGTGGTGGTTGATGAATTTGGCGTTCTTTCGAGACGACAGAGATCTGAAATTAGCTTCGCCTCCTCCATTAACACGACCACCACTAGTAGTAGTAGTAGTAGTGCTGTTGTTAATCCTTGAAGAAGCAGATGTAGACGTCATTGTTGTGTGATCTGCTGCAATCTCTGATTTCCTTTGCTCGCCTTTCATTCTCTGATATTTGCCTCCTGATCTTAATCAAGCCAAACAATCAACCAATAATTAACTATCAAGGTTTTTACTTCACAAACTTTCTCCCTTCGAAATTATAAGTCAAACAAGGGAAAAAAAATGAACAGAATTTTCAAGTGGTGGAGTTGAATCAGAAGAAAATATTGATCAAAGAATAAAAGTGGGAACGTGGATGGAGCACCGGATACATATGATGAGGAGATGAAGGTGTGGGAACTCAGACTCTGGGGTGGAGGGATTAAGACTTAAGAATATATCATGAATTTTGTTTATTTGCAAAATGAGCCCAAAACACCACAAACACTTTTTTTTTTTTTTGTTTGGTTGGTAACAATAACACGTATAAGAGGAGTAGAGGCGAATTTAGGAGATTATATAGTGCGTTGATTTTTTTTTTTAATTTTAATACACAGTATTTGTCGTCGATCGGTCATATATATAATATTATGCGTAAAAGTCAAAGTCAGTCACGTTCCTAACGCAAGAAACTCGTAGGAAAGGGAAGGCGGTCAAAAAGTTTTTTGTTTTGATTTTGACTTTGTTTTTGTTCTGCTTTTTTTAATATATATATTTTTCCCTAGCTAGTTTTTTTAGACGTATGGTAAGAGAATTTGAATTATAATTTATAATTTATTATAATATTTTTTTTTATAAAAAATATACATAAATTAAAAATAATTATAATCACATGATTTTAATTCATAAATTAAATATCTCATTCGTATTACGTCCCTAAAAAACATTTTCCTATCAATTAAAACATTTTCCGATCAATTATTGCTGAAACTGGAAGGTTCTTTTTGTTTCGGCTTTGTACTCCGATCCTTAAATTAAGCGTCATTTCATTTCAGCCCAAACACAAAAAATGAAAAAGAAAAAAAGAAAAAAAAGAAAAAAGAAATGCTTGTGATCTAACTGAAAAACTAGTTGAAGGCATGTTTTTACATGTGGATATATACAGGATGGAATAAACAGTTGACAATTCTAGAACAAAATGGTAGTTTGTTGGATTACATCAGTAATTCATAGTTATCGGCCGCCAAGATTAGATACGAGGCGCGACTTTTTGAGCATTTTTTTTTACAGACTTTCACTTTCTTTGTAGTTGTGGAGACAATGCAATGCATCACAATTCCTAAACTGGATATATTAACATTAGAAAATGTAAGCGTGTCTTTTCATATTAAATTACACTTGGGAAATTCATATGTTCAAACAGATCCCAGCACAAAAAAAATGATAATAAAAAATGTTGACTGACCAATTCCATCCCCGGTGGTGGCCACAAGCAAGATAGATATGTGAATTTATTACTAAGGAGACGTTTGGTTCATAAATTAAAATTATAATATTATAATTATTTTTTATTTACGTGTATTTTTTGTGAAAAAAAACATTATAGCGAACTATGAATTATAATTCGAATCAGGATACGAATCCCCTTACCAAACACACCTTAAACTATGTCGTAACCCGATAAGCGTAATGCTATATTTGGCACCAACAAAAAAAAATGAAAATAGCATATTTTTAGAATTTTATTTTAATTTTTACTCTAGGGCTATTCATAAATGTAATAACTTTTTCTCATTGTAGTCCATTAAAAGAATTAATACAGCATTCAATAAAAATGAAATGTTTAAATTTAACATGTGCCATATATGATTTGCCAAATTTAACAAAAAAATAAATAAATAATGATACAACATTCAATAAAAATGAAATGTTTAAATTTAACGCTCTCTTTATTATTTTTTTTTTTTTGCCTCCCTTTTTCTTAGTGGCATACGGAGGAAAAAAAAAAGGGCGTAGGTAAAGGTGGAAAGAAAGAAGAAGGAATTGGGAATAAAAATGAGCACGGATTGACGGAGACTTATTAGGCCAAATGCGAGCTTCCAGCTTTGGTTGTGGAGGCGGAGGCGGACGCGGTTGGTGACTGGTGAGTCGAAACGCGCTTTCGCACTTATTACCTAAGATTCTAGACGACCCCTCTCTCTAAAGTCTAAACCCTCCACGCTCGTCCTTCACTTCTATTTGTATTTTTTTTTTCTTTTAAAAGAAACTGAATGACCTGCTGGGCTAGCTTTAGAATGCAGGCCCACTAGCCCATTTTGAGAGGGAGCCCATTTTTAGCCGTGTTAGAGTTTTATTATAGGGTTTTTTTTTTTTTTTTTTTTTACGGAAGAAAGAGAAAAATAAGTTAAGATTTGAGATAAATTAAAATTAATAAGTTAATAATTTATATAAATTAATAAATAAGTTAAATTACTATTTTGTCCATAATTTGTCTGGTTATGAACCATTACTTGACAAATTATTGTCCATAAATCACAGTTTTTATCCATAACTTGTATGACTATAAATCATAACTTGATAAGTTTGTCCATAACTTATCTGGTTATAAACCATAACTTAACAAGTTATGACATATTAATTTCTATAACTAAAAGTTTACCTATATACTTCTTTAAGCTTTTTATATTGACATTTTTTCTACTATTTTCATTTTTTTTATACAAATAGAATTTTTATCTTTTATTTTTAACATAATTTTTAATTAAATAATTATACTAATAAAATAATACTTACTAAGAACAAAAAATAAATATTTAAACTCATACAACAAATTCTTCATTTTTTTCTTTATTTTATATGATAGGGATTACAATAAACGAACGAAGGACAAAGTAATCACCGCCATACAAATACAAAAACAATTTCTAATTTTATTTTATTTTATTTATAATAAAAAAGAAATAATAAATATCTGAGAAATTTAGGGAATCAATCTACTGCTATCCCTCTTTCTTGTGTTGTGTGCTCTTCTGCTCTCTCTCTCTCTCTCTGAAGAAAAGCAAATAGGGCTTCTTCTCTTTCCTCCTCTCCGCATCGCATCAGGTCTTTCCTCCGATTTTTCTCTTTTATTTTATTTCTTTTATGATTCCTCGATGCTCGTTTCTGCCTTCGTGATTAGGATCTTTTATTTTTGTTGAATATAATACGTTGGGATTTTTTCTTTAATATACACATGCATATTTAAATTCATAATTTCGTAATTTATATCCTTGATTAAGTTAGGTTTGCTTGTTTTTGGCCGTTCGTCTCAAAACTCTGCCTCTTTGATTTGTTGATTTCTGCTATTTTCTACCTGCAATTCCCCGATGTTTATATTAATGCCCCTGCCCTACAAGGGGGAAAAAAAATTATTCATTTTTTGGTAACTCTGTTTGATTCCGATTTTTTGTTAATATTTGTTGCTATAACCTGTTACTGCGCAAAGGATTTCTTTGATTTATTATCCATTTGTCACTGCTACTTATTGGTTTCATTAGCTTCACCTTCCTCGAAAAAAAAAAAGCTTTAATAACTGTTAATCTACGTAATGTTCCACGAGTACTTAAACTTAAAATTCTTCTTAAAAAAAAAAAAAAGAAAATAATGATAGTAACTGTTTTTCTATTCTTGGCTTGCTTAGGTTGATTTGCAAAATTTTCTGTTTGCAATTTTGCAGTTTCGAATGAAGTTCTCATGTTTATAATCTTTACATTTTTTAACAACTATATCTATATATGAGTCTGGTAATATAGAAAATGTAGTGTTTGGATTGTTAGTGTCCTTCCTTACATTATAATCAGTTAATATTTCATGCTTTTACATTGTTGGTTTATAATTTATACTTTGGTGTCACAACAACAATAAAACCACGGCTTTGACAATCATTTTCTTTTTTATTAAGAAATTTTCCTGTTTAGATTGCCAGAGTCCTAATTTCGGACAATCAGTCATGGTTTCTTATATTTTTTGTATTATTATCCATAGACACGTCCTTGAATTTAAACATTGATGCTTACATAAATGCCAACATTTCTGACCTTGTTTTTGACCTTCCCTTATTATAATGTACACTGCAGATCATCTGTGAGTTGTGTAGCAGCTTGCAATGGCAGATGGTCATGAAACTGACAGGAACATCGAGATCTGGAAGATCAAGAAATTGATCAAAGCACTCGAGGCTGCGAGGGGCAATGGCACCAGCATGATTTCTCTTATCATGCCTCCTCGTGATCAAATATCTCGTGTTACCAAGATGCTCGGTGACGAATTCGGAACGGCTTCAAACATTAAGAGCAGAGTGAATCGTCAGTCTGTTTTGGGTGCGATTACATCTGCCCAGCAGAGGCTGAAGCTTTACAACAAGGTTCCTCCAAATGGGCTCGTTCTCTATACGGGAACAATTGTTACGGAAGATGGCAAGGAAAAGAAGGTCACCATTGACTTTGAGCCTTTCAGGCCTATAAATGCATCCCTGTACCTCTGCGACAACAAGTTTCACACTGAAGCTCTGAATGAGCTGCTGGAATCTGATGACAAGTTTGGTTTCATTGTCATGGATGGTAACGGGACCCTTTTCGGGACACTGAGTGGTAATACACGAGAGGTGCTGCACAAGTTTAGTGTCGACCTCCCGAAGAAACATGGAAGAGGAGGGCAATCAGCGCTGCGTTTTGCTCGTCTGCGAATGGAGAAGCGCCACAACTATGTGAGGAAGACGGCAGAGCTTGCCACACAATTTTATATCAATCCTGCCACCAGTCAGCCCAATGTTGCAGGGTTGATACTTGCAGGGTCCGCTGACTTCAAAACTGAGCTCAGTCAGTCAGATATGTTTGATCCCCGTCTTCAGGCTAAGATTTTGAATGTGGTGGATGTTTCTTATGGAGGCGAAAATGGCTTTAATCAGGCAATTGAGCTGTCGTCTGAGATCCTCGCTAATGTGAAGTTTATACAGGAGAAGAAATTGATAGGCAAATACTTTGAGGAGATAAGCCAGGATACTGGGAAATATGTCTTCGGTGTGGACGACACACTGAAAGCTTTGGAAATGGGTGCTGTTGAAATACTTATTGTGTGGGAAAGCTTGGACATTAACAGGTACGTGTTGAAGAACACCACTAGCAGCGAAATCGTCATCAAGCACTTGAACAAGGAGCAGGAAACCGATCAGAACAACTTCCGGGATCCTGCTAGCAATGCTGAGCTAGAGGTTCAAGACAAGACGTCATTGCTCGAGTGGTTTGCTAATGAATACAGGAAATTTGGATGCTCACTCGAGTTTGTGACCAACAAATCGCAGGAGGGCTCTCAATTCTGCCGCGGATTCGGCGGGATAGGGGGAATTCTTCGTTATCAGCTCGATATGAGGACGCTTGATGAGTACGAGAGCGATGGGGATGTCTATGATGAATCTGAATAGCAATCAATCAACTGTTTCCTGAAGCTGGTGCAGAAGGATGGGGGCGAAAAATGCCTGCACCAGCTCAAGGAGTCGCGCTCGCTGCTGCTCCTTCTCCCATGTTGGTCGAGATATTTTTGCAGCTTAATGAAGAAGAAGAAGAAGAAGAAGAAGAAGAAGGTATTAATTACATTTCTTGGTTTTGTAGTTAAAATCAACTTTTTCGATGAATGTTTTTCCTAACAGGTTACTTTCTTAAAGGATATTGTGTTGTCATCTGAGATTACAAGTATAAGATGGTGGTGTCAGGACGAACATGCCATAGCGGTTGGAGAGATGCCGTGGAAGATGAGCATGAAGCTGTCGGCTGCAACAGACTTTGGATGAAGATGAAATGATGTCCCAAAAGCGTGCTTAGGCAACTCTATGTATGGTTGTCCTCTTGTGGAAAAGCTTTTATATGTTCTCTTATCTATTATTACTATATGCTCGGTTATGAAGTTTTTTATTATGTTTATTTTGGGTTTCGTAACTAGTGTTTGTGGTGGACTAAAATAAGTGATGACACGCTTGTTTGTGGTACATTAACCTTGACTTTTTATAATAGTATGATTATGATATGTTGTTTTAGAGTTTCGAGGTTTCGGATTTACAAGTTAGTTTATATGTATGGCGTGCTTTGTGGTTGAGCATTGCAAAGTGCAAAGTAACCATGTTTTTGCTTGTCGATGGTGCAATCGACCTCGCTATAGTATTAGAAACGAACAAAAGGGGTCGTATTTGGCTAATGGGGTAAAACATCATATATGATGTGTAAAAGATTGACGTGTTGTTGTGGGATCATGTTATCATTGATGACTCAGCTTTGAGAATCAAGTTTACCAATTACAAGACAGCATATTTACTCCTAACAAGTAAATTTTTTGGATATCTTAAATTAAAGTGGTTTTGGGAACAAATGTGTCGATACTTTTTTGTTTGGGTAAGTTAGTTTCTTATGTTTATCAATTTTGACAATTTTTGTTTTGTAGTTATCCGTTGCACTTGTGAGTATTGCTTATATTAGTTCATTTGTGGGTGTGGTTTATTATAGTTTTTGACGGGTTTTATGTTTTTGGGTGTTCGTTTGAGATTAGCATAGTCACTCAGCGGCAAATACAATTGCTTCTTGACAAAGCCTGCCGAGAGGTTGGCATTCTGCGTTGAGTTAGGGAACAGCATGTGGGAAGTTAGAAGTAGTGAAGGACTTCAAAATGGCTTTGTTTTGAGATTGGAGGGGGTGGAGAAGAACGATGGTAGAAGGGAGTGAGAATATCCGACAATAGCAATTGAGTTTTGATGATTTGTTTCTTTGTCTTTATATGTTTTTTTCTGTCGTTTAAATTTCAAGCAATGACGTGCTTAATATGTATGTGTGTGGCACGCACGGACCATCCCATCAAAACCATTGTTGTTTTGGTTATGGAGAACCGCTCCTTCGATTACATGCTGGGGTGGATGAAGAAATCCGTGAACCCAAACATTAATGCCGTCACCGGAGAAGAATGCAATCCCTTTTCTACCAAAACCTAGAAACTCGAAACAATTTGCTTCACTGACGATGCCGAGTATCGAACAAGCTTTTTCCATGTCTCATAACCTCTTGGAAACTATCATGAAAGGATTTAGACCCGGATCCGTACCCGTTTGCGAGGCTTTAGTATGAGAATTTGTTATTTTTGATAGATGGTTTTCTTCTATTTGGGATCCAACACAACCCAATAGGCTAATCGTTTACTCCGCAATATCCTTTTGCACTTGGGATTGAAAATAATTTCCTCACGATTTTTTCAAATGTGATGTCTAGAAGTAGGGTTAATTTTAATAATAGTACTCATGAATAAATGAATAAATGATTATTAATTTTAGCACAACTTTTATATATATTCACAACTAGCATTGTCATGCCAATAATGTGGGTAAAATGATTTATATGCCACTTAGGTCAAAATTATCATTTAAAAATACGTCAAAAAAACTCTCAACTCTCTCCCGCACATTCTCTCTCTCTCTACACCTCATTTTCAGCTCTATCTCTCTTTCTCTCTCCCTTTCTCTCAAGTTTAGTCTCTCTCTCTCTACTCGGTCTTTCTCTTCCCTACGCCATCATTCCCTTGTCGCCAATACTCCGGTTGTGCACAGATCAAGGTTGGTACACAATTTTTTTTTTGTTTTTCTTTTATTTTTGTCTTTTTAAATTTATTTTTTGGGAGACTTAGTATATAGAACTTGAAAAAAATGACTGGGTTGAACTTAATGTGATAGGAATTGAAAATATCCTTCGCCAATTTGAGATTTTGGATGGTTTATAACTGATATGTAAACTGATAGTAACAACCAACACGTCAAAGACATAGTTGACCTCGGGAGTCATAGTATTATGACTCATGGTGTTATATGTCCGGTCATAGTATTATGATCAGTTAGTCATAACAGTACGAGTCATTGTCTATGAGTCAAATTATAACAATATACGTCAAACTGGCCGGTCATAGTATTATGATCGTAAGGCAGTCATAGTGATATGACCGTCGGGTCATAATATTATGACTGAAATGTCCTATAGTGTTATGACTGGCACACTATGACTATCTTCTGACCGGCCATTACACAGTTGTTAAAAGACGGGAAAACTCATGTGAAGATATCGTCTGACTATGACATCATATTCTATCAACGACATCTCTTCCTCGAAAGCCTTTCTTTTTCTTCTAAGATAACAAAAAATGGTAAAAAAAATAATAAATACAAAAAAAAGAACAAAAAAAGCAAACAAAATTGTTAACCAAAGTACTATGACTGGCACACTAAGAGTCTGACCATTGAGTGGTCATAGTACTATGACTGACGATCATAATTCTATGACCGCCCATCATGCAGACTCGCTCATAGTGTTATGACTGATGGCCGCCTATAAAAAAAAATACTATGGCTGGCACACTAAGAGTCCGACAGTTGTGCGGTCACATTGCTATAACCTAGGGTCATAATGCTATGACCGCAAGGCAGTCGCACTATGAGCCGAACAATTGTGTGATCACATTACTATGACTGAGGGTCATAATGCTATGACCGCAAGGAAGTCGCACTATGAGCCTGACAATTGTGCGGTCACATTACTATCACCGAGGCTCATAATGCTATGACCGCAGGCTCATAAGTCAGACAATCGTACTATGCGCCTACCTGCCTAATAGGCGGTCATAGTAATTATTACCGTCGATCATATTACTATGACCGCACGATGTGCCTGTTTTATGACCGGTCATAATAAAATTACCACGCGGTCATAATGATATGACCGACCGTCATGCAGAGTCACATACCAAATAAGGAGCACAATGAGAATCTAATGACCCTAAAAAATTTTAAATAACTGACCTTATCTGCTTTTATCTCCTCCTCCAAAGCTTTTCTTTTCTTCTAAGATGACAGAAAATGGTAAAAGAAAAAAAAAAGTACATAAGAAAAAAATAAATAAACAAAAAAAGTCAATAAAGTTTTCACATTTGTCTCGGAATCCGCCATTGACCTCGTTTGTTTCGTGGCTGATTTCTATGGCGAAGAGAGAGAGGTTTCCTCAGTTCATTCTTCTTTGACGAAGAGGTTTAGACGTTGATTTCTCCGGCGAAGGTTCATCGGTTCTCGTTGCATGATTGCGTGGGTTCTCTCCGTCGTGGGTTCGTCGGTACTCAAGGTATTAGACGGGATGGTGGTAGACGGTGGTGGTCGTTGGAGTTTCTTGGTCTCTGTGCACACCCGCGTTCGTTCTCCTCCTCCTCTCTATACTTTGAATATTTGAATTATAAAAACCTTCATAATATATATATATATATATATTCAAGACTTTAAAACTGAAAGAGGTACAATTGTCATTTTAACTCAAATAAAAACAATCCGGTCTCACTTTTACTGATATGATGATGCTAATTATAAAAGTATATAAAAATTGTGCTAAAATTAATAATTATTTATTCAGTAGTACTATTATTAAAATTAACCCCCTGGAAGTATGGTTTTACTAATCTCAAACCCAATTTAGTTTGGCAGGGTCCCACTTTAGACAAAGTTACTTCCATACCCTTTAATGTCCTTCAAAATTACATTCACGTTAGCTTAAATTAAACGGTAACAAATAGAAAGGACAAAATCAATTACGTTCCATAATTTAAGAGGCGTACAGACTTATTTTTAAAATTTAAGTGGTAAAGTAACAACGCTCTATAGTTTTAGGGACAAAAGTAAAAGTTATCCAATAAATAAAAGAAAAGGCGTAACTACTAAGGTTAGGGTTAAGGCCCTGGGCCTATAAAAGGGGGAGGCGATGCCACTTCGCCATTTGCTTCTTACTGCTTTGCTTTTAGTTTTGGTTTTGGGGCGGCGTTTGTTGTTCGTTTCCCAAGTCTTTTCTCTCTTTTTGAATGATTTTCAGTTTTCTCTTTTCTCTTTTTTCTCTTAAATAATAATAAGAGAGAAATGGGGTTTGGTGATTTGGTTTTGCAATCAGTAATTCTGTAATGGTAATGGAGCTCCCCGTGATTGAACTGTTTGATAAATAAGTTTCAGCCTTGTCTGACTTAACATTTTATTATGTTGACAAAACTTCACTATGTTCTGAGGGAGCTCCTTCATCTTCTTATTTTATTTTATTAATTTTTCTTCTGTTATTTCTTTCTGTGACTTGAATCCAAATCCATACTCTCTAATAAGTGATAGGTTCTGTTTTGTTTTTTTCTTTGTTTTCTGAAGTAGAAGAAAAGATGGTTGTTTAGTTCAGAAACCGAAAGTACAATGGTTGTACTTTGTACTGACATCACATGGGTAGATAAAGGGAATGTGTTTGGACTTCGGAGAGAGACACAAGTGAGAAGTAGAAGCAGAGAGTAAGTATCGCTTACAGAAATACCGATCGATTCATGAGACGCTACAAGTCAATTGGAAATTTAGAATGGATTAAACCCAGTATTTTTCCAACTGATTTTTTCAATATATAGATTTTTGATTAATTGGGAATTGATTCGATCGCTTTGCGTGAGGATGTAGTCAGCAGTGGAGGATTTCTACAACAAATGAATTAGGTCATTCCTGAATAGAATTAATAGTGAGAAAGACATAATATTTAGAAAGGAATTCTTTTAATGTTATTTGTTTCTTAAATTTGGTTGGCTTAAGATCAAGAAGATGAAAGTTTTTGGTTGCGCACAGTTAAAGATTGCGATTTATAAACGTCATTGGTGTTTATTTCATCTATTCGAGTTTTCAGTTTTAGGTTTTCACAGTAAAATTTTTTTTAAAAATGTCACATTTAATTTTTTTTACTACAGTGAAAAGTTTTTAAAAAAAGTTACATCTCAACTCGAATTAAAAATTTAAATTTATCTCAATTCGAATTAAGAATTTAAATCCACGAAGTGATGCCAGTTAAAAGGTTGCAAATGGAATCTTGCAGAATAGCTTAAGTGGGTATACATTTATATTTTGTTCTGTGAGATTTATAGGCAGACCCTGTAGCAAAGTTGTTGAGATGAACAATGAACAATGGCCTCCTCCAATCCAAAGTCCAAAGTCCAAACCTACAAAAATAAGAGATTCCCCAAACATTGAGCGCCCATTCCACATAAGCCGTTGATGAGGGTGCTGAATCTAAATATAGCGTTGATGAGGGTGCTGAATCTAAATATAATGGAAAAAATTAGATGTTATATTTTTTAAAAATTTTTTATTATAAAAATATAGAACTGAAAATTTAAATCTACAAAGTAAACAATGCCTGAATGTATTTGAAAGACGACCTTCAACAAACCACATTCTCCATATTAAGAAATTTTAGAAGCCCTTTTGAACATCGATTTCTTACAAAAAGTACATCTACCATGCGAGTACACACCACCGCATTTGGGCGGTCGGCAACCACGGCTCATCTTCATCAGCATGTTCCACGTTTCCATTATTTATAAGAGATTAATTATGGTCTTGTTATGCTTAGGGCTTATTTGTAAAAGCATTCTTTTTTATTATTATTATTCTTAAGAAGAAGAAGAAGAGTACATTTAAAAAAAAAAAAAAAAAACCTTTCCCTTAACAATAAAAGAAGAAGAGGATTTCATTGTCGTTCATTGATGACTCGCTTAAAGGTAGTGGTAAAGAGAATTTCATCCACAAGTTAGCATTTCATTCATTCTTTCATGCATAATTGCATGTTCCCACTTTCTTATCCATATTACAAAATATTTTCACGTCAAACTTGGCTTTGGCGGTGCTCTAATAATGATAAGTTGATAATTATAAGATTGTTATTATCATTACATTCAAAGTGCCATAAAAAAAAAAGAAATAGATTGTTATTATCATTACATTCAAGTGCCGTCAAAAAAGAACGAGACTCAAAATATATAATTATTCGTCTTCCTCGGTTAAAAGGAATGCAATTGCAATATGTAGATAAAACTATCATAAAGCCTAAACTGAGCAATCAACTCAGAGCGAGTACTATTATCATTCCATTTTGAGTCATTCTTTGTTAATCCTTTTTGAAGTTTCTAATTTTACTCAAAATACAAAGTAAAAGATATGCAATGACCATATCACAGCATGCGAGTGCCCCAATCTTCACTAATCCAAAAAGGGCTAATTGGTGGTCAACTAGAGATTAAAGTCAATTAAAGCGTATATTATTATATATTAAGATTCCAACAGATTCAAGTACAACATTAAGGATCTTCAACACCCTTAAAGACCTCTTTTAACACGCAAGAAAAGAATAAAGAAAAAAAAAAAAAGTAAAAAAGGATCAGCATCATTAGAACCTAAGAGAATTTAAAGAGGCATAGCATATCTCTGATCATAAAGGAATTGATGAGTCTCAGTTGAGAGCTCGCCCCACTAGCCATCACGGATGCAACACGGCGAATACAACCAAATAACAATAGAAACGCACCCCCGGTCTACTCCTGCACCACACCAATGCGAAGATTATTGCGACAATACCAAGTCTCCAAGCATTAAAATTTCACGAAGATAAAACCTTTTGGTGGAACAGTCACTTCATGTATATATTTTCACCCTCAATAGTCGGTTATGTACATGCTTATAAAACATAGAAATTCAGGACGCTCGAGACTAAAATACTAGTATTTTTTTTTTCTTTCTGAAAGCGATACTAGTAATAAACATAAATAAAACTCAAACACAACAAAATCGGCAAACCATGTGCAAAAATGTGAATTTCTAACAGTTGGACAACATAATTAGGGCAAGAATTGCGGTTAACTCGGCAATATAATACATGCATCATAGGTTCAAGATGTGGACAACATATGAACGAACAAAAAGCAAAAGACAAAACTAGACAAAATACAGGTGCAGTGTCATTAATTAGGCTAAAGTTCAATTTGGCACGTTCTTCCAAATAATGGAAAACTGGAAAAGGTGGCTGTTTTCATGTAGAAATGTTACACTAACTATTGTCTGATACACGTCCAAAACAATCACAGTATCAAAAAAATCAACCTCACTAAATCATTATCATTTCAGCAAAAGTTAAGCTTTTGTAAGAGCTAAATCTTTTTAAATTGTTGGATTGCATTCACCTATCTTGTGTCTCACACATCTTGCAATTATCAAACTCCACTTATGGGGCTATACCAAAATAGGAGTAAAAAATTCAACTTCCAAACTACTACTATATCGAGGTAACAACATTGACACCAATAACTTCAATGCGTACATTCCAAGTGACGCCAACCAAATGTCGTTCTAGCTCAGATACTAGAATCGTATTGATGTGAGGTCAGTGTCAGTTTGGATGTCATGGGTAAACATATTAATACCTGTTCCATGGGTGCAGATTCATCTTTACCCTGTCCCTCCACATCCCTTGGTTCACCATCAGCCTCATTTTCATTATTCTGGACTTTACTTTCATCTGTTCCTTGAATGCTGCCGGACTGAGCATTATCATCTGAAAGTTTGAAATCTGCAGGAAGCTGTCCGGACTTCAATGCCTGCTCACACAAACCATTCGACATTATAATGCCAATGCTAAACTCAAACACAGAAAATAAGTCAAGCCCATAAATAAATAAAATAAAAAATCTATTTAAAGAAAAAGCACCTTTTCAAGTCTTGCAACCTCTTCCAGCGTCTGAGAATTCACAATGGCAGCCTGGATGCCAAGCAAAGCAATAAGTTACAAAAGACTAGACATGAGCATTTCCAATTATTATGCATAAATGCGTGGAAAGATAAAACATCAAAAGTTATAACTTGAAGCCACAAGAGTTATGATGTTCAGAGATCTTGAAGATGAAAATATTTTCAAGTTGAAAGCGAAGTTGATTGAGATGAAGTCTTCAAGCAGAAGAAATCTGCTTAATTAAATTGTTAGAAGGTGGCAAAGTGGGAAACTATGCCCGCTTACCAAAATCTTCATAAAGTCTACAAGCACGAGTTGGAGGTCTATATAAATAAAGTAATAAACCCAATTGTCTCGTAGATTGTGCGCGATAGTGATACATGACTTGGTGTATAGGTGCCAATGGGTGCGAGAGTCGGTATGTGTGAGTGACGTAGGGACTAAGTAGTGTGGTGTATTTTGTAGTAGTGTTCGGAGTGGAAAGCGTGTGAGCTGCAAGTGTGTGCCTGAGCATGTGATGTAAGTACCGCGAGGTAAAGTGTTCTGCCTGTAAAGCATTTATTAGAGTTCTAAGCTATGCGGTACAGTTGCATTGTGTAAGAAAAAGGTTTTTATTTTATTTTATTTCTTATTGAATACAGCCTCAAATAAGGCTCATATTACTAAAGAAAAGTAAAGATAAAAACTACAATCACCTCAAAGTGTAAGAAAATTTTCAATAAAAAGTCTGGCAAAAGGCTCTATAAGTGCTATTAAAGTGAGTGGAAACTCAATGATCCAGTCAACGCAACTCAACCCAAACACTTCATCCTAAACCAAATCAAAGAGAACTCATGGACCATAAGACCTACTTATTTTTATTATTTCTTAAATGATACACACGAGGCTTTAAAGCACAACAGATAATGCGAACATATGACATTGTCAAATATCATTAAAATGTGAATTGAAAAGATTTAGAAAGTTGTTTTTGTTAGAAAATAAATTCTTCAGCATAATCAATCAAAATTTGCAATCCTGGGGGAAAGCTTCTTGCACTATTTTGCTCGTTATTTTTGTCAGTTTAAGAGGCTATTACACAATCACCAACCCTAACTAAGAGTATTGAAATCTACTGCAATTATCAACTTCGCCAATAAATATCATCAGTCAATCCCAAAGCGGGGAATGACAAAACCTGTGTATTGATGGCCGATGATGGGAAAGGTTAAGATACCTTAATGGCGGTGATTTGCTCGGGAGTGGGAGCAACCACTTTGTGGGTTGTATCTTCGTCTTCTGCAGCAGCAGCTTGAGGGACATCCGCAGTGTCGACCGGCGTGAGCGTCTTGGCGGATTCTTTTATAGCGTCTTCTTCATCTTGTTTGGATGCAAACAAATTCTTAGCCTCCAACCTCTCCTGAATGGGTGTACAAATGATGCACAAGAGAAAGAGATTAGAGAAGAGAAAAGCAAGAGCAGGCAATAATAAGTGTAGTAATGTTTGTGGAGCACCTTGGTTTTGATTTTCTTATAATCAAGAACGCGAAGGGAGCGGAGTTTGTGGATGACGTAGAGCCTGTAATTGGGCTTCTTGGTGATGTTGTTGTCCAGAAGGCTTAGGAATTGCAGCTTAGGGAGGGACGCGAGAGGGTCGATCTCTGCTAAGTTGACAAGCCTGTTGTTCGTCAGAACCAAACTGTGCAACTTTGGCAAGAACTCTGCGATCAGTCGTCGCACCACATTAATTGATTAAGTACGATTAGGATTAGGATTCACAACAAGAACAAGTTTAGTTGAGTTTTTTTTTTTTTTTTTTTTTTTTTTTTTTTTTTTTTAAGGAAAAAAAAAAAAAAAAAGGGGGGG